GCTCATGGCCTCAAACTGCTGAATGACGCGTCGGAGCTCAAAACGATCGGTCGGGTCGTTACAGTCCTCTCTTCTTCGGATTTACAAACTATATATAGAAAATTTAAACGACTCTTTACTGTTCATGAATATGACTCGTACTATTTACTTTACGACTTTTTTTACATGACTCTTACTATTCACAAACGACTCTTACTGTTTACAAATGACTTTTCATGAACGACCTTTACTGTTCATGAATATGACTCGTACTATTTACTTTACGACTTTATTTTTCCAATAATAGATGTTTTCCCCATTTTGTCTTCTTGCTGATATCTTCATTCCAGTTGTACTTCTGGTACATCGTTATCTTCTCCGTCGCATTTTGAACATATATGATCTGGGTATTTGTGTCCTACTAATTTGCAGTATCTTGTCAATAATTCATTGGAAATAAATCCTTTCTTTAGTGCTCTTGTAGTTGGTTGTATCTCTGGTTTTAGTACTGATAAAATCCATTTTTGGACTTCATCCATATCTCCTTGTCGTAGTTCTCTTGAATTTGCAAATATCATTAGTTGGCCTCTTGAGTAGTAGCTCCAGATAGCATTTTCTTGTAAATAATTGTTGGCTAGCTCTTGGATAATAGTTGTTATCCCAATTATTCTTTTGTTGGCATAAAAGCGTGGTATCTCGATTTTTGGTATTTCTGGTTGTTGTTCTATTTCTTCTGGTATTATCATATCTCGTGTCAATCCTATTTTTACAACTTGTATAATAGGTTTTATCTCATCGTATAGTATCTCAGCTGGTGCTGTATAGAATTTTATAAAAAATAAATTTCCTTTTGTAATTCTTTTGAATGTAATAAATGCTTTATATAGCTCTGGTATTCCACTTATCTCTTCCCCATCATAGGTATATACCGTGCTAAGTAATCCGTAATTGTAACATGTTTTTACTAAATTGGCTCTAGTTTTTGGCTGTGCAATAAGCCTATTATATCCTTGGAGTTTTTGGGTTATATAGTCCTGTGTTGGATCTGTTGTAGTAGTTGCTCTGGGGTTCAGGTTTAGGAATGTTTGAATTTTGTATATATTCTCTATATAGGTCTGAGTAATATGGTTGTATATTTTCTTATTTTGGTGTAGGTTGTTGGCATAGGTTGAGGTTTGTGGTGTTGTAACTATTGTTTCTTTTGGCCTTTTCGGAGTAATTGGTTTATCAAATATGTTGTTTAAATTGACATTGATATGTGGCTTCTTGTTAACTTGTTTACTTGTACCTGCAGCTGTATATAAACCAACTGTGTTATGGGTTTTTTGGAGTTTCCCAACGTCTCCTTCTAACTCTGGAAGTTTTGAGTCTTCCGATCGACTTAGCTCCGCATTTTTATAGTCATGCTGCTGACTTGACTGGCTTTCCTCTAGCTGTTGTAATCTTTTTCCCATACCATCCATCTGTAAAGATAGAGTAGTAAGGATTGCAAATATATCTTTTGATTCTTGGCTTTCATCTGTTTAGGTACCTTTGTCTTGATAGGTAGTCTGCAATAACATTTTTGTCAGTCCTTATTACTTCAATTGTAAATGTAAAATTCTGTATATTTAATACAAGTCTTCTTATTTCCTTCGTAGGTACTAAATCTTGTACTTTTCGTGTTATCCACCATTTTACTTGTGTATTATCTATTCTCACAATAAACTTGTTATAAACGNTTTGGCTGTGCAATAAGCCTATTATATCCTTGGAGTTTTTGGGTTATATAGTCCTGTGTTGGATCTGTTGTAGTAGTTGCTCTGGGGTTCAGGTTTAGGAGTATTTGAATTTTGTATATATTCTCTATATAGGTCTGAGTAATATGGTTGTATATTTTCTTATTTTGGTGTAGGCTGTTGGCATAGGTTGAGGTTTGTGGTGTTGTAACTATTGTTTCTTTTGGCCTTTTCAGAGTAATTGGTTTATCAAATATGTTGTTTAAATTGACATTGATATGTGGCTTCTTGTTAACTTGTACCTGCAGCTGTATATAAACCAACTGTGTTATGGGTTTTTTGGAGTTTCCCAACGTCTCCTTCTAACTCTGGAAGTTTTGAGTCTTCCGATCGACTTAGCTCCGCATTTTTATAGTCATGCTGCTGACTTGACTGGCTTTCCTCTAGCTGTTGTAATCTTTTTCCCATACCATCCATCTGTAAAGATAGAGTAGTAAGGATTGCAAATATATCTTTTGATTCTTGGCTTTCATCTGTTTAGGTACCTTTGTCTTGATAGGTAGTCTGCAATAACATTTTTGTCAGTTCTTATTACTTCAATTGTAAATGTAAAATTCTGTATATTTAATACAAGTCTTCTTATTTCCTTCGTAGTTACTGAATCTTGTACTTTCCGTGTTATCCACCATTTTACTTGTGTATTATCTGTTCTTACTATAAATTTGTTATAAACAATATATGGCTCAAATGCTAACAAACATTTATATAATCCAAATAGTTCTTTCCTATTTATTTCCCATTTTAATTGTGGTTCCGTGTATGATCCGGAATAATATCTACAATGGTGTTCAATTTTTTCATTATCATATTTATATTTTAGAACTCCTCCGTAGCTGTGATCACTAGAATCAGTTTCTACTATGTATGTGAACTGTCTTTTTTCATCTGGAAAATATAGTTTTGGTAATATTTTACACATATTTTTTTATCTTTTTTATATGTATTTTATCTTTTTCGTCAAAATGGTATTCTACATCCTTTTTTTATTTTTTCTGTAATGGTTTTAAGTTTTCTGCTAATTTAGGGATATATTCTCTTACTTGGTTAACTAATCCTAAAAATGATTGTAACTTCTTTTTTGTATCAAGTGTTTCATTTAAGTTAATTATTTTTTGTACTATATGAGTTTGCATTTTTATTCCATTTTTATCTATTTGTATACCTAAGAATTCTGTTTGATTTTTCATCACCTCTGCTTTCTTTTTACTTAAACTAATTCCTGATATTTCTACAATGTGTATAAATTTTTCTAGTAATTTTATATGTTCGTTCTCTGTTCTAGAGTATAACAGTATATCATCTATATATATTATACAATTTTCTAATTGGTTAAAGTAGTTATCCATAAAATGTTGGTATCTACCTGGTGCATTTTTATTAAAATCCTTGTGGTACTGTGAATGCTCTTAACTTTTTAGATTCGTCTTCTAGTTTTAAATGGTAAAATCCTGATTTACAGTCAAATTTACTAAAATAGTTATATCCTT